AAATATTGAGAAAACAACCAAGAAAATTGAGGATACCATATGAGAAATACTAGCTACCATGAAATACCCAAACATTCAAATAATTGGTATCCCAGAAGGTGAAGAAACCAACAAGGACATTAATAATCTATTCTATGAAATTCTGGAAGAAAACATTTCAAGTCTAAAGAGGCACTCAAACATCCAGACCCGAGAAATACAAATAACTCCAGTTAGAATCAGTCCAAGAAGATCCTCTCCATGGCACATCATTGCTAGATGGGCCAAAACCACATACAAAGACAAGATACTAAGATTGGCAAGAGAGAAACGTCAAATCACTTACAAAGACTATCTCATCATGTTAACACCGAACCTCTCATTGGACACAATATAAGCAAGGAAAGAATAGGGAAATATATTCAAAGTGTTAAATGAAAACAATTTCAACCAAGAATAGTACACCTGGCAAGACTATCCTTCATATGGGAAAAGAAGATAAAAACATTCTCAGATAAGCAAAATCTGAAAGAATTTACCAACTCCAGACCAGCTCTCCAAGAAATTCTGCAAGGAGTACTATACCACAAAAACTAAATACAGATAGACAGCAATAAGAGAACAAAAAATAACCGAGTATATGGCCAACTTAAGGGTAGGGACAGGTCTGGAAATATCGATAATAATGTTGAATGTTAATGGATTAAATTCTCTGATCAAGAGACACAGACTGACTGAATGGATTAAAAATCAGAAACCCTCCTTCTGCTGCCTACAAGAAATCCATCTTATGGATAAAGACATACATAGATTAAAAGTAAAGTGCTGGAAAAAAGGTATTTCATGTAAATGGAAACCCAAAAAGAACAGGAGTTGCTATACTGATTTTGGACAAAATAGGCTTTAAGACAAAAACCATAAAAAGAGACAAAGAAGGGCATTATATAGTAGTAAAAGGGCTAATTCACCAAGAAGATATAATGCTTATAAATATTTATGCACCCAACTCAGGAACATCCAAATATGTAAAGGAAAGCCTGCTAGCTCTAAAAGGAGACATAGACGGTAACACAATAATTGTTGGAGATCTCAACACTCCATTGTCTTCTTTAGACAGATCAATTAGACAAAAAATAAGCAGAGATTTGGGACCTAAATGATACCATAAATCAGATGGACTTGATAGACATCTATAGAATTTTCCACCTAAAAAAACACAAAATATACATTTTTCTCAGCCTCTCATGGTACTTTCTTGAAGATTGACCACATGATAGGATACAAAACCAGTCTTTACAGATTCAAAGGCATAGAAACGATAACCAGCATCTTCTCTGACCATGATGGTATTAAACTTGATATTAATCTCATGAAAAAAACCTCAAAAATACACAAGTACATGGAATCTAGTTAACCTACTTCTGAATGACTTCATGACTACTGAAGAGATTAAGACTGAAGTCAAAAAATTCATGGAAACAAATGCAATGAATACACAAGTTTCCATAATTTATGGGACACTGCAAAAGCAGTCATAAGAGGGAAGTTCATAGTAATTAGTGAGCACAAGAAAAAGATGGAAAGGTGGCAAAAGAACAACCTAACATCATGCCTCAGGGAATTGGAAAAATAGCAACAGAAAAATCCCAAAAATGCCAGGAGAAAAGAAATGATAAAGATTCAAGCAGAAATAAATGAAATAATAAATAAGTGAACTATACAGAAAATAAACGAGAGCAAAAGCTGGTTCTTTGAAAAGATAAACAAAATTGACATACCATTAGCTAGACTAATAAGAGAGAAAGGAACCCAATACATCAAGTTTGCAGTGAATCAGGCAACATTACAACAGACATAATAGAAATACAAAACATCACTAGATGATATTATGAGTGACTACATGCCAACAAAGAAGAAAACCTGGATGAGATGGACAAATTCCTGGACACATATAATCTACCAAGATTGACTCAAGAGGACATAGAAAGCCTGAATAGACCTATAACAAGCAATGAAATTGAATCAGTAATAAATGACCTCCCAACGAAGAAAAGTCCAGGTCCTGAAGGCTTCACTGCTGAATTTTACAAAACTTTTAAAGAAGAGGTAACCCCCATTCTACTCACATTGTTTCTAAAGATCCAAAAGGAACCCTTTCAAACTCATTCTATGAAGCCTCCATTACCCTCATTCCTAAAATAGATAAAGATACAACAAAAAAAGAAAACTACATACCTATATCTCTGATGAATATAGATGCAAAAATTCTCAACAAGATACTTGTTAATCATATTCAACAGCATATACAAAAGTTACTCATCATGCCCAGGTAGGCTTTATTCAAAGGATGCAAGGGTGGTTCAACATACATAAAACCATAAGTGTAATTCACTATATCAACAGAAACAAAGATAAAAACCATATGATCATTTCAATTGACGCAGAAAAAGCATCTGTCAAAATATAACATTCTTTTATAATTAAGATGTTCAGGAAAATTGGCATAGAAGAATCATTTCTCAGCATAATAGAGGCCATCTATGAAAAACCTATAGCTAACATTATATTGAATGGGGAAAAGATGAAAGTATTTCCACTAAAAACTGGTACAAGAAAAGGCTGCCCACTTTCTCCTGTCCTATTCAATATAGTACTGGAAGTCCTAGTCAATGTGATCAGACCAGAGAAGAAAATAAAAGGCATTCCAATACTGAAAGAAGACCTGAAATTAACTCTGTTTGCAGATGGCATGATTGTTTACATAGAAGACCCAATAGTGTCCACAAAAATACTCCTAGAAATAATAAATGCATATAGTAAAGTGGCAGGAGAGGGCAGGACACAAAATTAACCTACGAAAATCTATAGTATTTCTATATACAAACAACAGACAGAGACAGAACTGAAGAAAGTGATCCCATTTACCATAGCCACAGAAGTATAAGATACCTAGGAATAAAACTAACTAAGGAAGTCAAAGACCTCTATAAGGAAAACTATGAAAACCTTAAAAAAGAAATAAAAAAGGACACAAAAAAGTGGAAGGACATTCCATGTTCCTGGGTTGGCAGAATTAATATATTCAAAATTGCAATCCTACCCAAATTAATCTACATATTTAATGCAATCCCTATAAAATTATAAGAGACATTCTTCACAAATCTGGAAAAGATAATCCTAGAATACACAGGGAACTCAAGCAGTTTACCTATAAGAAAATGATTAACCCAATTAAAAGATGGGAAAATAAACTGAATAAACATCTCTCTAAGGAAGATATACAAACAGCCAAAAAGCATATGAAAAAAATGCTCAATATCCCTCATCATAAGGGAAATGCAGATCAAAACCACAATGAAATACTACCCAATCCCAGTCAGAATGGCAAAGATTAAAAAAACGAAATACAGTAAGTGCTGGAGGGGATGTGGTGAAAGGGGAACATTCCTACATTGTTGGTGGGAATGTAAATTGCTCCAGCCACTTTGGAGAACAATATGGAAGTTCCTCAAAGACCTTCGAATAGAACTACCATATGATCCAGCAATTCCACTCCTGGGTATCTACCCAAAGGACAGGAGAATGCTCAGTTGGAAAAGCACTTGCACAACTGTATTTATTGCAGCATTATTCATGATTGCTAAGACATGGAACCCACCCAAATGTTCACAAACAGATGAATGGATGGAACAAATGTGGCACATATACTCCATGGAATACTATTCAACTATAAAAAACAATAAGCCTCTGGAATTTGATAGAAAGTGGACCAATAAGGGATCTGTTGCTGAATGAAGCAAGTCAGACTATGAAAGATAGACATTGTATGTCTCCACTTAACATAAACCGACTGTCTGCACTCTATGATAGAGATTGAAAGTCTGGAGAACATAAAAGCATTAAAAATTGTCATGGACACTAGAGACGAAGTGGAAGGAAAATGTGGGAAGAAAAGAGCGAAGGAAAGAAAAATTGGGGGAACCATAGAGAGACATTTGTGGGACACAGACATGGTTTATTATCTGTTAATGAGATCATGTATAATATTTTCAAATGGACTGAACTGAGGTGTATATCATAGTGGGTTAAGTCTCTTTAAAATCTAAATGATGTATATAATAATAATAATAAATAAAAGAAAAAAGGGAAAATAAAGAAGACACTTATAAAAGGTTGTATATGAATGGAAGATAAAGACATGGAAAAATGTTCAATATTTTAGTCATATAAAATGCAAATTATATGTGCACTAACGTGGCTAAAACTTAAAGATTGACAATACCAACTGTTGACAAAGATGGGAAGTAAGTGGAATTCTCATATATTTTGGGTTTTTTTTTTTTCAAGGCATATCAATGATTTTATTTATTTTTTTAATTTAAATTTATTTATTTACATTTATTCACTGTACATCATTACAACATAAAAAATGAGATTTTCTATCCAGATTACACTGTATATTGTCTCAATCAAGCACATCAACATACATGTTATTGTCAACAAATAATTTTCCATTTCTTGTTTCCTGTATGTTTTGCTTTTTTTCCTCATCTTTGATTCCCTATCTCTCACCCTCTGCATCTCCCACTCTCCTCCCACACTATCTCTGGTATCTATGTTTGCTTTCTATACTGTTTTTCCCCCACATTTTATTGAGTCATTAAAGATCTTAATTAATCTAAATATTTTCTTAGACATTTTGATGAGAATATAAAATGTCACAACCACTTTGGAGAACTTTTTAGCAGTTTCTCACAAAATGGAATGCATGACAGTAATTTCATTCCTGTGGCTATATTTATACAAAAGATATAAAATTGACTGATACATGGGGCCAACAGATTAATGTTCTGGACTCTCACATAACTGACCATGGTTAGAGTCCTGGACCTGGCAGCTTGAAAATCATGCCGGCATCATGTGTGTGTGTACTCAAAATCCCAGGAGGAGAATGGAGGAGAAGGGATTGTGGCATGGTCATGTATCCTGGGGAGGGATTTTTCACTTACCCTCTCACCATTTCTCTCTGTCTCTTTCTGGTGAGTGCATGTACACTATGGCAAAAATCTAAAGAAATAAAAAGGCTTCTATGCAAATATTCTTGGAAGCTTTCTTCGAAATAGTCGAACTCTGGAATAATCCCAAGTGGCCAGCGACTAGTACATGTTTAGCCAGTTTTGTTATAGACACATAATGGAATAGTAATCTATGAGAAAAGTAGAAAAAAGCATTCAATTCATGCGACAACATAGCAGAACTCTAAAAACACTTATGCTAAGGGAGAGAGCTATACTCAAAGAGCATGTACTAGTATGATTCCATTTAAATTAAATCCTAGTACAGGCAAAACTGAACTATAGAGATAGTGTTTGGAACCAAAAGGATCAGAGATAGGATAGGAGAATTAACTAAACGTTTACAGGGGAGCTTTGTCAGTGATGGAAACATTCTGTGTCTCTCTTGTGGCAATTACACAGTTTCATACATTTATCAAAACTCACTGACCACTTTCAAGCAGTGCATTTATTCTTTGTAAATTATACTTCCAGAAGTAGGTTTAGAAAAAAAAAATATATATATATATATACTGTATGGTTCAGTATGTGGCTTCTGGATTTAAATCATGCTCTGCCAGTCTGTGTGACTAGTCTTGTCACCTAACATTTTTGTACCTCTGTATGTTTAAACTAGAGTAACAATAGTACTTGTGTAATAGGACTGTTATAAGAATTAAATGATTAGGTATAATTAATATATTTTATTAAGGGGTGTCTGGCCCATGACAAGCTCTAAATAAAGATAGCTGCTTAAAAACAAACAAACAAACAAACAAAAAAAAAACAGAATTTATTTGGGAACATCATGCTATCATAAAATTAAATATTAAAGAACGAAGGGAAAGTAATCACACTTCTGTATCCCCTTAATGCAGTCATAGTCCTCCAGATAGGTAACCAAGTATGGTGATTTTTACCCAAAGTAATGTTTCCTGTTAAACATGGACATTGCATTTTTACCATGACTCAAAGACAGCAGAGCTGACAGAGGGTGAGCCCGATCATTTTCTTGTGAAGAAAGAAAGGGTTTTCTTTTTTATTAATTAATTTATTTTTATATACATTCAATGACATTGTTTAGCTTGTGAAGTGAACATTTCAATATGTGAACAATTCTCCCCAGTCCCGTTGATCAAAATATCTTCAACAGATTATACCACACCTCCCCGTCCCATCAACGCTCTGCCTCCGTATCCCTCCTCCAAATGACCTTCCCTAGGCCCCACTCCTCCACACAAAACATCTGGCATTCACACCCATCTCTTGTGTTTGTATATCTTTTAGTCAATCAGTTTTTGTTGTAGAGTGCAGAAAGGAGTTTTGCTCATCATTTCAGAGCACAGGTGGTAGAGGGACATTGAATGCATATATTAGCTTGGGTCATGTCGACACCTCAAAATGCAGAAATTTCCTATTTAAATACAATTATTTTTCCTATTTATTCAAAGCTACATTGATGTCTATCAATGCAAATGTTTTAAAGGTTCTTCATATGTGGTTTTTTACACTTCTATTCAGTTTTCCTTGGGGACTTTTGTTCTTTTTTGTTATAAATAAGTTTTTGTCTCTTATTATATTTTATATTTGATTATATTTATGCACATAAGATTAGGCTTTTCAAACCAGTATATTCCTGATAATACATTAAAATCGTTATTGATTTTAATAGCTTTTTTCCCCATGTGTTGAGAAGTAGCAGGGTAAAAAATAAACAAGGAAATTCTCTTTCCGACACATTCTTCCTGGTTTTAGGAAAAGAGCACTATTGTTTAATAATGTTCTAATTCTAGAATGAATGGGAAGTATTTATTATCAGAGTGACTGAGAGGGTTTCCGTAATTAGTGTTAATAATTTTTTTTTAAGTTTTTGCCACAGAGTGCCTGCACTTGCCACAGAGATACAGAAAGAGACACAAAGAGGGAAAGTGAGAAATCACCCCCAGGCAAGATGGCCATGCCACAAACCATTCTCCTTTCTTTCAGGATTTTGGGCATGTACACACATGTGCCTGGCGTGATTTTCAAGCCACCAGGTCTGAGACTTGGACTGTGGTAGGCCATGTGGAATCCAGCGCCCTAACCACCACTGGTCCCTGTAATAAGTTTGGAGACATAAGAATGAGATAAGCTATGGCGTCTAACTGGGTTTTCACACAGGATGCTTGCAGAGGTGGGGATAGAAAGTAAAAGTGGTTTTATTACTGCCCCTGACTTGCTTCCACTAGATCAGCATACATCACAAGTACAATTTAGAAAATGAACTGCCTTACGATCCTAAAATAGTACAAAAATATCATCACGGATCATGTAACAATGGATATACCTTCCAAAAGATGTGCATTAGGTTATTCCATTCCATGTACACTTGAAAAGAAAGCACATTATTCCTACGGTCATATGAATATATGTCAATATGTCAATTTTAGACTAATCTAACAGTCAGTAGATTGTTAGATTATTTGTTTGTTAGATTATTGTCTTTTACTAATATTTGTTCACTGAACTACTTTAAGCTAAAAAAATTATTAAATTTTCTTCTATTACCTGTCCTACATAGTTTCTGCTGTATAACATTTACAATTACAGGAATTTCTGTATAGATATGCATAATGATTTATTGATTTATGTCTCCTGCAATTGTGGCTCTCATTTATTGCTGGTGCCAGGGTTTCCACTTTGTCAAGAGTGGAACCTTTGTTCTTCTTTTTTTTTTTTTTTTTTTTGAGAGATTTTCGCTATAGGGCACGCGTGCTCGCCAGACAGACAGAGAGAGACATAGAGACAGAAAGCGAGAAATCACCCCCCAGGAGGGATGGTCACACCGCAATCCCTTCTCCTCCATTCTCCTCTCAGGATCTTGGGCACACATGCACACGCGCCCAGCGTGAGTTTTAAGCCACGGGGTCCGGGAAGCGAACCACGGTCAACTACGTGGGAGTCCAGCAACATAGCCATTATGCTAACTGCTGGTTCCCCCTTGTTCTTCTTTTCATTTGAACTGGTTGCACGTTTACCTATGTCCATTTCTTTAAAATCATTTTATTTAATTTCATTCATCATTATTATACTTTTCATTTGACCAGAGAGAGAGAGAGGAAGAGAGAGGGAGAGAGAAAGTAAAAAAGCAAGCTTCCAGGTCTGTGACTTAAACCATAGTCAGCAGATGGAAGTTTGGGGCCTTAACCACCATGCCACCTGCTGGTCCCTTAATGTACATTAAAAAAATTGTTCTGTAATACTCATAATTTAAAATTTACCACTTACATGTACAGTTCCGGGGGATTAAGAATATTCACATTGCTGTGCAAACACCCAAAGCATCTAGCTCTAGAAGAATAAATTTTTATTCAGACTCTTTGCTAATTTTTTTAATAATTATTTATTTTATTTTATTCATTCTTTTTTCTTTTTTAATTTGACCAGAGAGAGACAGAGGGAGTGAGTGAGAAAGGAAGTGCCAAAGCAAGTCACCAGATTCAGGACTAGAACCCTTGTCGGCCATGTGGGAGTATCCAGCGCCTTAACCACCATGTCACCTGCTGGCCCCCTGCTAATTTTTTTTTTAAATTTTTGTAGGGCATGTGTGTTCACAGAGAGAGACAGAGAGAAAGAGAGAGAAAGCGAGACAAAGAATGAAAGCACCCCCAGAGGGGATGGCCACACCACAAGCCCTTCTCCATTCTCCTCTTGGATTCTGGGTGTGCACTCACAGATTTTCAAGCCAGTGTGATTCTCAGGCCACCAGGTCTAAGACTTGAACCATGGTCAGCCATGTGGGAACCCAGGGCCTTAACCACTGCACCGCCTGCTGGCCTCAAGGCTTTCATTCTTTATCTTACTATATTAGTACTGTTAAAACTGTTTAAGTCAAAGAATTGCTTTTATATTTCATTTAAAAATTAATTTAAAAACAATTCTTAAAATATCTAGTCATAGAATAACTAACTTACTTGATGCTAAGTAAACATAACTGAATTCTCCTAAGTTCTTTAAATGTACATTGAAACAAATTAAGGAACCAGCAGATGGCATAATGGTTATGTCACTGGACCCTCATGTAGTCGACGGCGGTATGAGTTCCAGACCCAGGCTGTTAAAACTCATGCTGATCGCGTGTGTATGTGTCCAAAATCCCGAGAGGAGAAGGTAGAAGAAGGGATTTGGTGTGAGCATCCCTACTGGGGAGTGATTTCTAGCTTTCTGTCTCTCTGTCTGTCTGTCTCTCTCCCTCTCTGGCAAGTGCACACGCCCTATAGCAAAAATCTCTCTCTCAAAACAACAAAAAATAAATTAAAATGCCTGTCAAATTGAAATCTTGCATATTGCCTAATACCATTCTTTCAATTATATTTGAGAAGTAGATTAGATAAACTATTTCTTGGTTTGGGTTAGACTTTCCGGATTCTCCATTTTCTCCATTTTTTTTCTCAAAGGAATCATGCGGAGCTCCCTTGATTTCAGTTTCAACGTATAATATTTTCTCGTGTTCTGATCTTTCTGTTTCATGAAAAAAAAAGCCAGGCATCTATGAATTATTAACTTTCCTTTGAAAAATTAAAGTTTCTCGGAGCAGAGCCGGGCAGCGTTCTGTAAGTCTGGAATACCCTAGGGCGAGTCCCGCGTTAGTGAGTCTTTGATCTTGGACACCGTGTCCTGGTACTACAAGAATGGCGAATCATCTAAGCAAAGTTCGCTTTCATATCCATCATGATAAAAATTATCTTATGGCATTAAATTTTTTAAGAAGCAAAATGGTAATTGTCATAGCATAATCCTCAACACTTCACACATCTAACTGAAGTGATAATTCAATGAAACTATGAAAAGCTGCCAAATTGCTTACTGGATTGTGCTGCTGTTTTCAAGCAGTTCTTCACTTCCACTGTCAACTCATGCTCCACGTGGCTTTTTCATGTTTCTGCCAGTCTCCTCAGTCCTTCAGCTTCTCTCCCTGGATATTCTGCTGCAATTTCAAAGCAGCTGGCTTCTCCTCTTTCACAAAGGACATAGAACCCATGTGACATGAACGATCTCATTCCAGCACCAATCTGTCCCTCCTGCAGCCAAGTGCCAGTCTCTTCTCGCCTGTCCAGGAGTCCCTCACAATCTAGTAAGCAGTGTTTGTCCAGAGTCCTCCACCTTTCTTCAC